CCAAGTCGCGGAAGGCCATCGTGCGCAAGGCCCATGAGCTTGATGTGCGCCTCATCAACGGCAACGCGAAGCTTCGTCGTGTTGAGACTTGCTGAGATCCTTTTTTTGTTTCTTTTTTATTTTGTTTATGAATACGTTTCCGGTTTAAAAAAAAAAAACCGGTTTTGGAAATAAAGAAGTATAGTGTTTTTAAAACAGATACTTTTTGTTAAATTAAATGAGTTTCGCTTTTTTTTTCTTCTTCTCGGTTGTACAACCATGTTCTCAGCCCTGTAAGATATTTGAAGGGAAAAAATGCCGTTCGTTGACCATAAGAAGTACAAGATCCAGCGTGAGGATATGCCCGCTGTTCCTCACTTCAGTGACTTCAATGATCCGCGTTTTTGTGGCACTCACAACAAGCAGAAGAATGGTATCCTTGCATACTACCAGTGGCTTCATTGCATTGGTAACTGGGGTGAGGATCACTCAATGTGCAAGAAGATGCGATGGTACCTGGAGCGAATGATGCACGAGGCGTGGCTTGAGAAGTGGGAGGAAAAGCGTGCTTTAGGACACTTTGACCACGTTATCCTCTATGGCGTAAAACCATGGAAGGAGTTTGAGCCTCTGTACCAGCCTGTGAAGAAAAACCGAAAGGGTGCATATGAGTTCTGGCTGGATCGAGACTTTGAGCCTCTCTACGACCCCGATGCTGTGGACTTCCGTGAGAAGGCTCCCATTCTTCACGATGTGTTTGTGAAGGGTAAGAAGCCCGTCTACGATTAGGAATAAAGAAGGTATGATAGGTAGGATTTTGCGTTTTATTTCAGTGGTGATTATAGCATGGGTGTCTTTATATCAGTGGGGCGGGTGTGCCGTTAGGATTTTCTAGCCAATGAAGGAAATGTCAGTTTCTTGTTTGTGAAAATCATTGGGAGACCCTTTGGGAAAGATGCTATGAAATTACTGGGAGAAATTCTTTTGTTTTACTGACTTTTTTGCTTCTCATATATCTTGGGTTTCGCTATTTTGACGACAACAAAAGTATTGAAAGAGTCGAAAGATTTTATTCTATTGTTACCCATGTCCGAATCATCGTACGGCCTTACAACCTTCAGCCCATCAGGGAGGCTGGTGCAGATCGAGTATGCAACGACAGCTGCAGGCAAAGGTACAACCGCCTTGGGTGTTAAGGCTACGGATGGCGTTGTCATCGCTGCAGAGAAGAAGACCACATCTCCTCTCGCAGAGTCCTCCACAGTGAACAAAGTGTTTCTTCTTGATGATCATGTCGGTTGCACTTACAGTGGGATTGGCCCTGATTGCCGTGTACTTGTCGACGCTGCCCGGAGGGCCTGCCAGAGGTACCGTTTGACTTACCATGAACCCATGCCGGTTAGTCAGTTGGTTCGTCGGATCAGTTCTCTTTATCAGGAGTTCACGCAATCAGGTGGTGTCCGTCCTTTTGGCTGCTCCCTCCTCGTCGCGGGAGCTGATGCCCAGGGTAACCACTTGTATCAATTGGATCCCAGCGGTACCTTCTGGGCGTGGAAGGCCACATCCATTGGAAAGGGGAGCTCCGACGCCAAGACGTTTCTGGAGAAGCGCTATACAAATGAAATGGAGATAGAGGATGCGGTACACACAGCTCTTCTGACGCTAAAAGAAGGATTTGACGGGAAGATGACGGCAGAAAACACACAGGTTGGACGTGTGAGCGAAGGAAAGTTCGAATTGCTTTCAGTTGATCAACTAAAGGATTACTTGGACCAGATTTAGCGTGCTTGGCGGGGCCTTTCTCTGGAACTGACGATGTCTGTGTCCCCTTCTGCCTCACTGGGAATGTTTCTCTTGCAACGAAAGCAAAAAAAAAAAATGAAAATCATCAGAAATGAATACAGCAACACCAAAAAAGAAAACAACCAAGTTGCAAAAAAAGAGAAGTGCGCTTGGTTGTGTAGCTATCTATATGAATAGGTGCGCACATAAACGCATCGCTCCTGCTTTTTTTCCCCTTTCTCTTGCTGCTTCTTTGCTCGCCATCATATTAGTGAATTGCTCATGTCTCGGGGAACACTAGCGCCTCAGGTATCATGTGCTGGTATGCGGTTCCTCAAGAAGAGGCTTCAGGTGCGGTGTGCAGCGGATTGTAGCCACAAGAGTGTATTCACGAGGGAAGAATTTATTGCGTTGTGCACGTCAAATCCGTATGTGCCAATTAGTGAGCGAATGACCTTGCGCGAGGCGGAGGACTTCCTGCAAACGCTTCATCGTGCGCGAGAGGTAATTATGGTACGTGGCTGTGTATATACTAAACCTTCTGATGTTGTAGATGCTGTGCATATCAAGGCGCATCTCCCCAAGCTTTTACACGGAACCCACGCATGTTCTTCACAACATGTTGGCACACATAGTGGAAGCGCTGCCACTTGCGCACCAAAGAATGTAACGTGTCGACGCGATTTTTGGGCTGCTATTTCCCTTATCAGTGGGTCACAAATGACTCTTTTGGCCTATCTGACGTTTATTGTGTATGATTGGGACGTAATGGAGCCTATCTGCTATTTTGTGACGACTTTTACAGCGCTATCCCTATACGCTTACTCTCTCGTCTTTCGAAGGGAGTGCTCTTTTAATGCTGTAGACAATCAATTGTTTCCCTGGACTGACACGTCTGTTGCCGAATTGCCTCATGCCAACGTACAAATATGTTCTGACAACTCGGCCTCTTGCAGTGTTGCTAATGGTGCCGAGCTGTCTTTGGTGGATGCTGCTGATTTGCTTCATAGTCTCGATGTTACCACCACCACCACCAAAGACGGTGCACTGCATAGGGGCTGAGGGAGAAGCTTGGCTCAATCGGTACGGCCGTTAGTGTTAAGGGATGGGCATTGTATATGTACACTATTTGAGGTATTTCTTATCTACTTTCCCTTTTTTTTTTCTCGCCTCGGTCGCGTACAGCTGTTGTTGTATACCTATAGTAGATGTGGACCGTGCACGAGGACGAGTACAAAAGCGCTGAATTTAATCTTGCGGGATTCCTGGAGAGCGGAGTGGGTGAGGGCGAAGACAAGGCAGCCAAACCCATCGGCGTCTACACAAAATGCTCACAGGTCTTCGCCACGCCTTCTGCAACTCCAGCCGACAGCATACCCTTAAGTAGCCACAGACATAATACCAACATTGCGTGGACCAGTACGCAGAATCCTTTTAGTTCTCCTTTACCGCGCAATCTTTTTAGTCATCCACAAGCTGCAACGCCTTCTCAGTCGAGCATTATGCGTGTCGATGCGCCACCGTTTGAGCCGTCGCCGAAAAGCATCGCCGCAACTGTTTCTTATGCAGCCTCTTCACCTGTGGGTAAGCGAGGGATGACACCCACACAGATGTCACATGTTGTCGCGCCTGAACACCTTAATCCGCAGATAATCATGCCAATGGACGATGCATCTGGGAGAGGGAAGGACAGGAGTACTGCTCAGTACTTGGAGTGGAATAATCACCCTGTAACCGCTTACCATCACCCACATGTTGCGGTGCGCGCTTACGGTAGTAGCACGACAGCCGACAACCTGCGCGGTACAGTTTACGAAACTGCGAAAGATCAGCATGGCTGTCGGTTTCTACAACGCCTTCTGGGAGACTCCAACTTCGACAGGGAAATCGCCCGCGTCATCATGAATGAAATTGTTCCGCACGTTGCTGAATTGATGACGGATCAATACGCCAATTTTCTCGTTCAGAAACTTTTTGACATCATGCCACCCGATGTGCGATATGATGTGGCTCGTGTTGCTGCCCCCCATATTACCGTTATTGCTCTCACTCCACACGGGACGTTTAGTGTGCAGAAAATGATTGAGACGATTGCCACGCGGGAAGAAATGAATATTTTGCGAGAGGCGTTGTCTAAGGATGTTGTCCAGTTGGTTAAGGATGCCCACGGTAACCATGTCATACAAAAGGTATTGCAGCGATTCAATCATGCCGATAAGGATTTTATCTACACCGCTGTAGCAGGAGATTGTGTATCTATTGCCAAGAACAAACAAGGCTGCTGTGTGCTTCAGCGTTGCCTCGAGTATGCTTCTGATTCGCAGAGAGAAACGTTAGTGAAGCATATTTTGGGTTGTTGCTTGCAAATCGCCGAGGACCCTTTCGGGAATTATGTGCTTCAGTACGTCCTGGAGTCTAACAACAGCAAGACTACCGACACAATTGCAATTGCGTTCCTTCCGCATCTAGTGCAATTGTGCATGAACAAATTTAGCTCTAACGTCATGGAGAAAGTGTTACGTGGCGCGTCTCAGCCGGTGCAGGAGATGTACGTGGAAACCATGTGTTCTCCAGATGTTGTGGCTCGACTAATTCAAGACGATTTTGGTAACTATGTGCTACAAACTGCTCTCACAATTTGTTCAATTGCACAAGCTGAAACACTCGTTTCCGTCGTCCGTCCCCTCATGCCGACGATTAGAAATGCACCATATGCAAAAAAACTGGAGGGAAAAATTGAGAGCATCGTCCACAGAATTACCAATAGCCGCCATGCTGTTGTGGAGGGGGATAGCAATCGTCAACTGGAGCTGCATAGGCAAGAGTGCGATGCAGTGTCACCGCACCGTGACTGGTATCACGGCAGGGAGCCACGGGCGGCGGCGCACCAGCAGCTCTCCAGTTGAGTCTTGCTGTTTTTGAGTGAGACACCCCAGGCAATTGTGTGATTGTACAGTGTGTGAAGAAGAGCTGTTTTGGTTATTCAAAGGGATCTAATGGAAGGAAACCAAAAAAAAAAGAAAAAAAAAATGAAGTTACTTCTTCTTGGGGTGCGGAAGAGAGACCCAAGGTGGAGCTGAGCTGTTGTATAATTAGATGAGGAAAACAAAAACAAACAAATGAAAATCAAAAAAAGGAAAGCCCTCTCCCAAGACCACCAAAAAAAAAACTAAAGAAAATGAGTGTGGGGAGAACGAAAGGAAGAGGGCGTGGTGCACTTGCGAGAGTGAGGAGGGACTCAAAACGATTGATAATGTCGTTTTTCCTCCTTCTTCTTATGTGAACTCTGTGGGGGTGACACACCACTGGTTCTGGTTGAGTGGAGGTGTGGTTGACAAACTGTTGTTCTCTTTTGCATCATGCTTGTTTAATCTTGAATCCCTTGGTACACATATATATATATATATATATATATATATAGTAAAATGTAGTCGAGGTTGCGACAATGCAGAGAGAGAGAGAGAAGATCGGTGGACGTCACGAGGGAGCGAATGGAAATAAGGAAAAGGGAGAGAGAGTAGTGCTGAGTAAGAAAACTGGAGTGGGGAGGCGAAAAGAAGCGTCGCTTCGCTCTTTTGATACTCTATGCGTGTTAAACTGTCTGAGTTGTTCTGATATGGGAGAAACATTCAGGGCAATGTGCACTATTTGCTGAGGAAATTGGCTTGTAAGTTGTTAAAAATCTTCTCTTATTCTCTCCAGGTAATGAAAAGAAGAGGGACACACTCAAGATATTATTTTAGAAAGACTGTTTTACATGCACTCTGTCTCAAGGGTATGTCGTGTCCTTGCATTTTGTTTACCCCGTCAAGCACGCAGACACTCAGACGCAAAGGCTTTCTGATGCCTTTATTGCGCGTGGTAGTGCCGTATTGACACCTCGACGCAACGGGGGCGGGAAAAAATATGCGGGATGTGAGGGGCGCTCCTTCTCCATGTCGTTACCATTCGAAACTTCTGTCCTATATGTCTCGTCTACAAATTCCATGTGCTTTGCTGTGAAAGAGTTTTGCTCTACAAGTACAGGTTACTTCTCAACCGTGCTGTTGCAATCTTGGCGTGGGTTTCTTTCGTTTTTGTTTTCCGTGGGGTGCATTGGAATAAAATATATGTCTGCCAGAAGTGATGCGTCCGGGCGATTCTGAAACATTTTCGTTCTTGACCACCTATTTGACAGACTGCCCATTCTTTATACCTCAAGTAAATGTGCCAGCCCTCATGTGTGACCATTACTACACGAGTAATAAAGTGAGTATCCCATATATACGAGGCGGCTTATTCTTGGTGGAGCCTATTGGCTTATTGTATTGGTGGTCTGTGGAGCTCCATGACTTGATACAAAAAACGGGTGGTGACCTTGCACTGTTGTGATAATTGGTGACCAAATGTTGATCAGTGTCCCTAGTACTGAAGAATGAGTTGTACTGCGGCATCAGATGATAAGCTCCTTTTGGAAAAGCATATCCCATGCGTTGGAGAGACTGGCATGGCTAGTGCTGAAGAGCATGCCCAGGCTGTGTAGCTGTAACCTTGTCTCAGTGTGTGTTTGCAGGGGNGGGGGGGGGGGGGTGTAGAAGGAAGGAGGGAACTCTTCCTGCACCTACAATGCTCCGGCAAGAATAAAACTTCACAAAGGGTAAATTTTCTGTGTATATTGTAAATATTCTTTTTTTTTTGTGTTTTGCCCGGGTCAGATTTTTTTTGTATGAAAAAAAGTCATTGTCTTCAACCTGTTATTGTCCTTTTTATTTGATACGACGTGGCGATAAGCCATGCATGAGTGAACAGTATTGATTCCTGCCGTGCTCAGAGCGTGTCCTCCTTGTTTGCCACATAGTAGGTGGCTAAATTGTGTATTGTACTTGTAGTCTCTGATTGGTTACAATAACATCAGACAATGATTTGTGTGGTTAATGGCGACCCTTATGAATCTCTGGTATGCAAATATAGTGTCCTACCTCTCTCATGCTGATAAGGTTCGTTTGCATAACTTGCCTTTGTATGTGTGTTGTGCCGATTCTCAACTCACAATTGTACCTTTTGATTATGCATTGAAGACGATATCGAAAGGGGACAATGGAGTGGACAGCAAGCCGCGTTGAGAGAGTTCTAGATGGTATAGCGGAGCTGCACAAAGTTAGCAAGGTTGAACATATAGACCAGTTGCAGAGGGATAATGAACGGCTTAACAAAGAGCTTGCTGAGATGCATAAGAGGCACAAGGTGGCCCTGAAGGACCTCAATGAAAAAGGGACAAGAATGGAACAACTTATGCGGCAACTTTTGAATGAGAGAAACAGTTTAGCCGAAGAGCTGGCATTGATGCGAGAGGAGAAGAGAGACCAAAATAAGGTACCTGGTTTGGCGGCTAACTTTGCGGCAGAGATTGAGAGAAAAGATGCAGGTGCTCAAGTTGGTGCATCTGGCAAATGCACACTCACCAGTGAACGTGCGACGCAAACACTCAGAGACTTTGGTGATGCAAACGTTAATGTAGTTTCTTTTGAGGGCCGAATGGCTACATATGAAAAGACGACGCAAACTCTCAACGAGTTGGAGCTGGAGCTGACCGCGTGTCCACCTTCAAGCTTCAGAACAATCGGGCATATGTCGACCTCGCGAGGCGTCGAAGCCACTCCGGTATCTTATTCATACGGACTTCTGACCCCTACCTCCATTCACTACACTAAAGGTGCCGAAAGGCTTGCTCTCGCGATATGTGCTAGTGGACGATGGATTGAGAATGTGAAGTTGGATGTTCGTTTCTCTGATTGTGCATTTGTAGGTGTCAATGTGGAGGGATGGTGGCAGTGGCGGAGGCAACTGCCAAAACAACTTAGCACGGTCTTGAACCATATTAGAGCTTACGGCAGTGATGAAAATCCTCTTTGGTGGTGTACGGCGCTGGCTTCTGCGCTAATGGAACTGGATACATATAATTCAATGACCATAGGAGACCTTATTTCAGCTAGCTGTGGATGTAGCGTAGGGTCGTATGTGGCACTTACTCCATTTTCTTTCCCTTTTATGACGGAGCGTTTGAAGTCCAGCTCAAGGTGTGGTCTTCTTTTGAAACGGGGGAATACAAGCCCTAGTGAAGATGCTGTGCTGGTGGTTGGGGCTTCTGTTCACAAAAATAATGAGGTGTTTTATGTCGTCAGTGCTGGTGGTGACGGAAAAACATATGAAGGATCTGTCAGAGGGAGTACTTACTGCACACTGGTTGGAGAGTGGCTGTCAAGCCAACAGCTCCTCGATCAATTCGTCGCTTTTCAAGCAGTGGAGTATTTTTCGCTTGAAAACGGTTCAGAGATTCGCTGGATAGATGCTGTGAAGGGTCACTTCACGACCGTGGCAGTCACGCTACCGAATGAGGTTTCAGTTGTGGAAAAAAATTTCCATGCAATGCTCTTTGATGTTGCTACATCATCATGGTGCCCAATTGAGATGAGGTCACACGAGGGCAATGCGTTTGTGTTTTACAGTCCTCTTTTGGAACAGTCTCCCTTCGTCGTCATGGTGTTGAATGTTAATGTGGGTGCCGTGCGCCATATAAACTTTCTACAGATGGTGCCAGATGAGGTGCTGTCTTCACTCATGGAAAAACGGGTGATTTTGCAAGTGGATGGACAGGAAGTGTGTACATGTAGCCTTACCCTGAATATGGCGTTAGAACAGGAGATGGCGGTGAAGGAGAAGAAGTTACACTGTCTCTCGCCTCGCTGGGATATGGATGCCGCGATTATTGCTGAGCATTGTCAGGATGCGGTCGCTGTGATCCTTGATCACTGGAAGGAGTGTAACAACGTTTTGATGGAAATGTTACCGTCTCTAGCGAGCTCTACTTTGGAGATCGGTATGCTGCTGTCGGTTGCCCACTCTAATATTATGGCTCGATTCAACCTTATGATGGATTATGTCGACAGTATTGCGCAGCTTTTGATCTCTTCATGGTCATTGGTGCTTCAAAGATTAACTGAGGCTGGTGGGGGCGTTCCTCCATGTTTTTCACCAATGCTGCATAGCACGATTGCACGACAGAATGCAGAACTCTGCTGTATGAAGTCTCGGAACACCTATATGAGTGCGTCACTATGTCACGCTGCTGAGGAGCTGTGTGAGACAAGAGCGAAATTGGCTTCAGCTTTGACTTCAAGTAAAATTCTTCAGGCAGATTTGGCGCAGTGCGCAACAGCCTTCAATGTGCTGCGACGGGAGTCTGCTGCCAAAGATACAAAATTGGCTGAGGCAAAAATATACTGCTGCGCTGTAGATGGGCATCTACGTAATTCTACAGAGGTTTTGCTGGAGTTACGCGCGTCCTTTGCACAAATGCAAAATGATCAACGTGCCGAGTTGTTGGAGAAAGCACTACTACTCCGTGCGACACGGGAGGAATTGGAGGTCCTGAGGCACTGGGGAGGGAACCCTCCTTCTTAGCTGCAAACCGGCAGCTTATCGTGAAGAAAAGGCAACAGCTTTTTTTTGTATATTTCACCTTGTTATCTCCTCCTTGCCTTTGCGTTTATGGTTGTTGTTTTTTTATTTAGCGTTTGCAACAGAAAGTCTTGTTCTGATCGGTGCACGTCTCCTTCCATCTTTGGCTTTTTCCACCCGATCTCAGAAGGAAGGGGCTTGTAGATTTATGGCATCATCATCTACATCATTCGAGGCTAATACTTTAGGTACAGTGGTGAAGTGTCTGGAAACCACAGTGCAGCAGCAGGAAGAGCTGTTGATTCGATTGAAGGTGTGTGAGGAGCGTTTACGGGAGTTGCAGGCCCATATGCTACAAACAGGAGCAAGCCAGCCTCTCCCTTCCCCCCAAATATTAGATTGTGCCGTTACTATAGAGGCAGGCAACGTGAAATCTGAAGCTACGGTTCAGAAACTGTGTGATTACTGCTTCAAACTCGCCCCGTGTCGGCCGTGCCCTGAATGCCAACGTGAGTGGTATTGCAGCAGCCCTTGCCAGCGGTTGCGTTCTTATCTTCACCATCCTGTATGCCATCATCGCAAGATGACTGAATCATAGTGTTGTACTATTACTATTATTAGTTTCGTTAGCCTCAATCTATATATTGATGTGAGCATTGCTCGTGCAAGTGAACACCTGTACTAAAAGCCCTTGCTTTTTTTTTTTGCCTTTGGAAGTCTCATCCCTTGCTTTGTGGTGTGTTTTGTACGGGAGAGAGAAGGAGAGAAATCCTCTTATTTTTCTGGCTTATTATCTGCTGTGCTCTTATTTGCAGACTGGGTTTGCGAATATGGAGCAGGCGTCTCGTTTAGCTGCCACCCTCTCCTCGGAGAACATTGTTGAGGCGCGAGATGCAAGGACGGAGTTGACACGGCTTATGGCACCAGAGCGAATTCTCCACATGTGGCGCCAGGGCCAACAGGAGGCGGCGGCAGCACTCCTAAACGAGGCGGAAACCGTCGGGAACCACGATGTGTACGCCGTTTTGGGGGATGGCTTCAAGTGTCTCTTCGACGCCAGCAATGGTAAGGCTGATGCAGAGGACTTCCTTTCCCTGGACACGACGAGCATTGTTGCCCGTTTTCTGGTGAACGGGGTGTCCCACGATGATCTTGTCAGGGCGACTAGTGTGAGGCCGGCTTTGCTGAGCTTGCTAGCTGTTGTGCCGTCTCACTTGGCACCATTCGTCGGTGAGTTGCTTTCGGCGTCATTCAAGAATGAGCGGGTTCTTCGCTTATTTGATGAAAATAATCCAGAATCATCAGAGAATGAAATATTGTGTAATTTTTTGAATCGTTACACTGACGTGATTCCTTTTATTGCATCGGCGACATTAGACGCGTTCGAGCACGACCCACTTCTTGTTGCAAATTACCTTGCTATCACCGGCATTATCAGTCGTCACATGGATCTACCACAACAACTACTCGAAAGGATCGAATGGACTCTTACGCAATGCGAAGATGAATTTATCTTTTGTTTTGTGTGTCGTTCGTGTGCTGTTGCCCTCCGTGGTCATGATAGCAATAATTTGAGGTTTGCATCGGTGTGGGGAGAGGCTGCTGCCCGTCGTTTAGGGAAATGTAGCCACGATGCTTGTGATGCCATATACAGCGTTCTTGGCGCCGCAAGCACAACGTCTGTCGGATGGACTACTGCTGGGTCGCTTGTGCGTGAGGAGGAATTGACGCGCGGATTGGGCAGCATTGCTCTTCAATCCACGGTCCTGAGCTTCATGATTGTGCTGGTGCGTTCTCCGCACGTCGCTGACTCATTTTTTAGTGTACCACTTCTGCGTACAGTATGGAAGCTGCACAGAAACCCGGACGACGTTGTTCGGGAGAGGTTGTGGGCATTTGTAGATGATGGACTTTCGCGGGAGAGTATCATGGTGTCATTGGCACCGTTGTGTGCCTCATACTTGTGTTCCCTGCATCAAGATGCCAATTTGACTGTGCGTGGTTTGCAGTTGCAGGTTGCCGGACGCCTTGTGGATCATGGTGGTCTTGCGCTGGAGGTGACAGAAAGGCTGCAACAGTTCCGCTCACGTGGCTTGTATCCTCCCGCCTCGGTTGGTATAGAGGCGATGTCGCGCCGTTAGAGAGAGGCCTGTAGTGCTTTGCAAACACAAGATGCCATCATAATTACGATTCTGATAGGAATCAGTGCGAGAAAGTGAGGCAAAAACTTTATTATAATTATAATTATTATTATTTGTTTAAATCTGTTTTGTGGTATGCTTTTAACGCCAGACTCCTCTTTTTATGACTGCTGTATTCACAGTTAGGGTTGGAGAGAGTCGTGTGTAGGTGTGGCGGTGCTGATGAGTGTGCGCGAGCGTGCTGTGGTGCTCATCGACGGGCCCGCCTTGGTACACCGCTGGTACCACCGCTGGAGCTACACTAGTAAGAAGACCCCAGTCGATGTGAAGCGGTTCACCATAACGAACGCACGACACATAATTGCCACAGCGCACAGCTTTGATCCCAGTCACCTGATGCAGCATCTGTTGTCTCCCCAGGTGGAGTACGCCCACACCCCGAAGCACAACAAAGTCATCATCTGCTTCGACCAGGGTGATGGCGGACGTCGTGAGATGTACTCGCAGTACAAGGCAAACCGCGAGGAACGCGAACATGGTCCGGAGCTCTCAGTAATCAAGAAAGTGGCGACTAAGGTGTTCATGGGAGAGCCTAAGAACACCCTTCTCATTGTCCCAGACTTCGATGCAAAACTCAAAAAAGTTGATGCAGAAGCGGACGACATGATCGCCACATTGGCTTTGTACAATCAGCAGTTCAAAATACCGACAGTTGTGATGTCGCATGACTACGATCTCTACCAGCTTATCGACGAGGCAAACAAATGTTACCACTACGATATTCGCACGAAGCACCTCGTGTCTGAGAAGGGTGTCATTGAACGTGTTGGGGTGCACCCGAAACTAATCCGGGACTACAAATCCCTCTCTGGGGACTCCTCAGACAATGTTCCTGGTATAAAGGGTATTGGTAAGACCCGCGCGCTGCAGCTTTTGAAGAAGTACGGTGACTTGGACGGTGTTCTCACAAAAGGTGTCAAAAAGCAGGGAGGACACGTTGGTGACTTGTTACGTGCTGGCGTAACCGATGCGGAATTGTCGCGCAAATTAGTGGAATTGAGGGATTGCCCTGAAGTTCTGAAAGCGTGCGAATCCTTCATGAAGCTGTAGATGGGGTCACACCTTTTCACTGCGAGAGGTGGGACGCGGAGGGGTGGCGGAGACTTGCATCGAGTGATCCATAGACTCATTTGTTTTAGGTTTTGTTTTCCTTTGCGATGTGTACCCCTTTGCGCTGTGGTTTGTGGCTGGCTGCTGCACATATATAGAGGACGCAAAGGGGGAGATTTGAAGGAAAACAAAGAAAAAAGGAAAAATGGAATGAAGAGCAATACGACACGAGCTCAACACAGGACAACATCTCTTCCTTTCTTGAGGGTGCACTCATTTTTTATGAGTGTCTGTCGCTCGCTCGACGCCTTCCTGGTGCTGTTGCGCCCCTGTCTGTATGTGAGCGCCCCTCTGTGGCGGTGCGGGGGAGCCGCTGCCTCTGAGGCCTTCATCGCTTGCGGCTCTTGTTCTTCTTGCTGTCTTTTATTTTCTACTTTCATTCTCCGTGTGTGGAGGGGAAGGAAAAGAAGGGAGCCCGTTCCTTTTTTTTTTCTTTTTGTTGTGGGCATCGTGCCCGGGGAAAACAGTCAGAGGAGTAGGGACCTTGGCTTCGCTGTATTCATACACCTTGGCCTGTTGCAGCCGTGCTTCGCGCAACCAAAGGAATAGAAAAAAAAGGAAACACCCTTATATATATATATATATTGAGTAACACTCCTCTTCCCCTTCCAACAACAACAACAATAAACAAAACCTATAACAAAAAAGGACAATAGATTGAAGTGGAAAAAAAGATGCCGCCTGCTCTTTCTCCCAGCGACCACACCAAAGCGAAGGAGTTCAGTGCCTTCCTCCGCTACCTCGGGTTCTCGCAGTGCCTGCAGCTTTTTGTTGAGCAGTGGCAGGTGCTGGTGAAGCAGCAGGAGACCAACAAGGCCGCGCGGGAGAAGAAGAGCCAACGCATAGATCGCTCCTCCGCGTCGTCGAACCGTTCGCGCAAGAACTCCTGTTCTGTTCCCCCGACGCTTCAGGTGTTGCAGACAAAACACCGCGTGGTAACTTCCGTGGGGGTGGATGAGGATTTGTGGAGGCTGATGGGCGAAGAGCATCTCGCGCCGAGCTTCCCGAATGGTGCTGGCTCCAATATGGAGACATATAGGCTAGCGCAGCAGCGTGGTGAGGTGCAGCTCGTGCCGACGAAACCGTATTACAAGGAACCGCCACCATCTAATCTTCGTTTGGATTCCTTTTATCTCCGTGTGGTCTACGAGGCCGGTAAGACGGGCTTTGAGGAGGAGAAGGACCTGGCCATCGTTGTCGACTCCGTGGTTGCGGGGCGTTACCAGATGCTGCAGTACCTAGACTCTGCTGCATTTTCCCGCACGGTACGATGCATGGATCTGAAGGAGGATAGGGAAGTGTGCCTCAAGGTGGTACGCAACTCAAAGGATTTCTTCGACCAGAGCATTGACGAAATCAAGTTACTGAAGCTGATCAACTCTGCCGGCAATACAGAAGGGAACTGTGTGGTTCAGCTATTGGACTATTTTTATTACAAAGAGCACATGTTCATAGTAACCGAGTTGCTCCGTGATAACTTGTACCAGTTCAGCAAGTTTAATCGGGACGAGGAAACGGAGTTTTACTTTACGCTAGCCCGTCTGCAGTCTATAGCGAGGCAGATTCTTACAGGACTACGGTTTCTACACGATCTTGGGCTGATACATTGTGATCTCAAACCAGAGAATATTCTCATCAAGTCCTTCAGCCGATGCGAGGTGAAGATCATCGACCTTGGAAGTAGTTGTTATCTGACAGATAACCTCAGCTCGTACGTTCAGTCGCGGTGCTACCGTGCCCCTGAGGTAGTCCTTGGCTGCAAGTACGATGGTCGCGTCGACATTTGGTCTTTGGGTGCTGTTCTCGCGGAATTAGCTACAGGCAACATTTTGTTCGAGAATAACTCTTTGCCACAAATGCTAGCGTCAATCTGTGCTGTGTGTGGTGAGTTGCCGGCTTCCATTTTGCATGAGGGACGAAATACACAACACTTTGTCACAAAGTATGGCGCTTTTTACGAAAACAAAGATGGGAAAGAGCTGGTGTTCCACTTCCCCGTTCCTGGCATGCTGCCCGAGACACTTTTTGGCTACGATGATCCCCTTTACATCGATTTTATACGCGCGTGCCTTACTTTAGACCACCGTTGTCGTCCCACTGCGGTCGAGTTACTGCAGCATCCCTTCCTCCAGAAAGACTACGGTAGCGCGCACAGCATCCCCCCTCCCCTAAAGAAGAAGAAGGAGCTTAACCAGGAGAGTGCTCCAGCGATTATTGCTTTTGCAGAAGTAGAGCCACCGTCATCGCTGCCTACAGTGTAGATGCCCACTCCCCCCAACCTCCTACGTGCTTCTGTTTCATTCCCATTTTTTCGCTTGATATTGTCTCCTTTTCGCGCCTCAGCTATTTTTCCCACCACCACCACCACCACTACTACTACTACTACTACTACTACTACTACTACTACTATTACCACTACTACTAATGTTACTAGCGCCAATATTGCTACAGCTGCATTNCGTGCTTCTGTTTCATTCCCATTTTTTCGCTTGATATTGTCTCCTTTTCGCGCCTCAGCTATTTTTCCCACCACCACCACCACCACCACTACTACTACTACTACTACTACTACTACTACTACTACTACTACTATTACCACTACTACTAATGTTACTAGCGCCAATATTGCTACAGCTGCATTAATTTGTATCTTCGTTGTTGGAATGAGTAATAGTGGAGGACGTGTTTTGCTTGGTGGTAGCACGACGCAGCAGTGACAGACACCGTTATGCGTCGTTTCTATGCTCTAGAAGTTTACGACATGGTTTAAGTATGATAGAGTAGGACAGTAGTGAGGGAATTTGTAACTCAGAACGAGGGAGAAGAGGGATGAAGAGGGAGAGAGAGAAAAGGAGCAACAAAGGGTGAGATATCATGTCTTTTTGTGGGTGTATTTATCTGTGTGCTGGTGTGATTAAGGGGTGGGATGAGAGAGGAGGAGGAGTGAGTGTACCGATTATTTGTTCTCCGATTTTGTTGTTCTCTCTGTGGGAGGAAGAAGGAGCGACAGAGAGGAGGAATGTGAACAGAGCGACGCATGGACGCACTACAAACCCCTGTGATTCCTGTCATTCTTTTCCCTTGTTAGCCTCCCCTACACCATGTATCGTTGTACTGGTGGTGAAAGGGAGAAACATGCCGGGAAGACTGTTTACTGTGTGAGCACAAGCCCATCTTTTGTCGGTTGTATTCTTGTGTATGTCTGTGTGTGTTTGGTGCTGCATTTTCTCCCTTTATGGTTTTTGTTTTTCTCTTCTCTTCTCTTCTCGCTCCGAATTGTTTTGGCTGCTGCTACTGCTGATGGGGGATTTGAATGAGGTGGCGGGCGGCAAGCACAACGAGCACCGTGAAAAAAAGGGAGAAAAGAGTCCAAGGCCCCTAAACATACATACACATACACACATACATTGAGAGTGAGAGAGAGAGAGAGAGAGAAAGCGAGCGTCGATGTTCACCCAAGAGCCGCCGCCGCCACGCTATGTATTACAGATAAGCACAGGAAAGTGGCGTAGGCAAACAGCCTCGCCTGTACTCGGAGCAAGTACTGGGGCTGAAAACTTGCAGAACTCTCTGGACTACTTTCTCCGAAGGGCTATGTACGCGCCGGTGTCTCCGGTGAAGGACAATAGCAATAGCCAACAACTGCCGGTGGAAGTTTTGAAGCAGATTGAAGAGTTCGAAAAGAGACATTGTGGGGAACCTTCCCGCCGTTTCTCACTTACCTCTACTTTTGTAGAAGTTAACCCCATCATTGGACTCTTGTGTGGTGTACCACTGTATGACCTTTACGACACTCTCACACAGAGGAAAGGTAGTGCTTGGCAGAGACAACAGCATCAGGGTGCCAGTGGTGTTGCGTTGCGGCTGAACCTCGAGGAGCTGTGCGATGTCTGTGCACAACTCGTTCCCAACATGGTGAGCTGCGAATATGCGCAGCAGATGCTCTCATCCGTACCTGGCTACCGGGAGGATGATACCGTTTTGCTTTCTTCATTCTTTTCGTTCATTGTGGAACACGCTTTTCACCCTGCAATGGATCGTAACGTGCGGGCACTATTCAGGGCATTCGACCCGGAAAACACCGGAGTGATATCAGTGGCCACCTTGTCCCCTGCGGTTGTTTCCGCATGGGCAGAGTTGAATTTGTTTGGAAATTTGCGGGGAGAATGGGACAAAATGGCGGCGGCCTTAGAGCTGGCGAATGGCTTAGACCTCTCCATCGTAGATGGCGCCACTCTTCTGACGCCGGAGTCAACACGCGCCGTGTTGTGTGCCTCGAGCATATTGTACAACGCGATGAATTCCGTTGACATGGATGGTTCGCACCTGAAACCCTCACCCTAAGGATGCATTTTCTTTTCATGTACAAGTGTGAGTGCGAACGCAGAGAGAAGGGGAAGAAAGGAGAGATGTGCAACCGTGCTTACTTTCCCCCTTACTGTCCCTTTTCTACTCTACCAGTTTCGCACTCTTGTTTGTTGCTTCGTTGCTTGCTTCCTGGGCCATTTTCACAGAGTACTCCATTCCGTTTTTTTTTTTGCCTGTTTTTTTTCGTTTTTTTTTTTTTGCTTAACTCGTTTATCCGTGCTTCAACGGTGGTGAAAGTCAGGGGGAGTGCGTCTAAGGCGACCAGAAGCAACGCTCTGTGCTTATTTTTCTTGAAGGGTGCTCTCGATTTAAGTTCAGTACAGACATAGGGAAAAAGGCTATTATCGCCATGAGTGAGAAGCGCCCCCTTTCCCCTGAAGTAGTGCGCAAGTTGCAAGAGTCAACAACGCTGTCTGAAGCGCAGATTGTGCGGCTTCACAAGCGTTTCGCAACACTCGACCATGAGGGCAAAGGCTTTATCTCTCGTGATACGTTCAATACGATCTCTTCAGTGGCCTCCAACCCCCTGCTGGGGAGGGTACTGGCGGTTGTGGATACCAACGGTGATGACAAGATTAACTTTATGGAGTTTGCCAAGGCGCTTTCTGTGTTCTCACCGGAAGCGGATAAGCAAGAGAAACTGCGCTTTACGTACATGATGTATGACATTGATAGGGATGGTAAGATCAGCAACCGGGATCTTTATGAGACACTGAAGATCATGGTTGGATCGAACTTGACAGGGGTTCAGTTGCAGCAGATTGTTGACAAGACATTTATTGAGGTAGATTTGAATCGTGACGGTTACATCACCTTTGATGAATTCGAAAAGTTGGCACTTTTGACTAGTTTTGGTGATAGGCTCAACCTGCAGATCTAATCCAAGACAAATTGGCTCCACAGTCTCTGTCTTCTCTCTCTATTCAGGGCTTGGAGTGGCCAACCACGGAGCTCGTTGTGCGAATTGAGTATTCCAGACGCCAGTATGCTCGTTAAGGGCAAAGAGGTGACCAATGGTCATCAGGATATATATATATATATATATATATATATATATATATATAAATTATTTATCGGTCATTTCTGTCTTGTGGTATTTTTTTTTCATTTTTACATTTCTTTTCTTCGTTACATGCGCAGTGG